TACCTGGGCGAGGAGGCCGAGGGCCTGGCCGCCGAGCGCTCGCCGCTGCCGCCCGGCGCCGCCGAGGACGCCAAGCCCAAGGACCTGTCCGACTCCAGCTGGATCGAGACGCCCTCCTCCATCAAGTCCATCGACTCCAGCGACTCGGGGATTTACGAGCAGGCCAAGCGGAGGCGGATCTCCCCCGCAGACACGCCGGCGTCCGAGAGCTCGTCGCCGCTCAAGAGCGAGGTGCTGGCCCAGCGGGACTGCGAGAAGAACTGCGCCAAGGACCTGGGCAGCTACTACGGCTTCTACTCGCACAGCTAGGCCGGCGCCGCGCCCCCAAGCCCGCCCGCGCCGCTCGTCCCGGCGCCCCCCGACCCCACCTNCCACCTCGCGCACCCCCTCGTTTCATGTCACCCTCGATTACCGTCTGCAGCGAACGAGCACAGGTCTCCAGAGTGTGACTTGAACCCCTCTTTGCACAGCAGTTTCTGCAGGTAGCGCACCGACCTTCAACTTGGCTGTGAACCGTTTGGTTTCTCCTGCTTCCTCACCTTCCGAGAAGTTAGACTCCTCACGCTCCTCCTCCCCCCAAGGCTTTCCCTCGCCCCCTCCTTCTGGTTCTAGTCCCCAAACCCTTCCCCTTCGGGAGACCTGGGGCGGTCCCGTCGGGCGGCGGCGATTCGGGCCCGTCAGCCTCGGCCTCCCCGTTGCCCGCAGGGTGTTGACTCTCGAGCCTGGACCCACCCCGCGCGTCCTTTCTGACCCCCGAGTGGAAGGATGGATGGATGGATGGATGGATGGATGGATGGATGGATGGATGGATGGATGGATGGATGGATGGTAGGGATGTTAATACTTTCAGTGGAACAAAGCCTGTGAAATGATTGTATATAGTGTTAATTTACTGTAACGAATGGCTAGTTTTTATTTTCATCGTCAAGGCACAAAACCAGTTCATGCTTAACCTTTCCGTTCCTTTATCTTTCTTTGCTCCTTTCTCTACCCACCACTCCCCTTAAAAAAATCTTTTTTTTTCCTTGTGAGATAATTAACAATATTCTAAGAGGCTCTGGAAACCTGAAATACTTGATAGATACGATGATGAGTTTCTCACTTCTCCTCAATCCGCTGCATGACCTGATTGCTCTGGGCCCTTCACGCACACACATAGCCAAGGAGAATGCGGCCGGACACCTGCGGAGGACGGGCGTCTGCTCCTAGGCGAGTCTCCATTAAGTGGCATGATGCCTGCAAAGCAAAGTTAACTGGAGTTGTATGTTTTCCCCTCCTTCCTTCTGAATAAAATAGCTCAACATAGCAATATTATTTTGCCTTATTTGTTTTTCCCCAAAGTGCCAAATTCATTACTGGTCTGTGCAGGTGCCAAATATGCTGACAAACTGTTTCTGAATATCTTTGCAGTCCCCCCCCTCCACCTTTCTATGCTGTAAATCTTTGTAATGAATATTCCACTAATGATATAGATGACTGAATTGTTGGTAACTATAGTGTAGTCTAGTGAAGATGAATTGTGTGAGTTGTATATTTTACTGCATTTTAGTTTTGAAAATGATTTCCCGCCACCTAGAAACAGCTTAAATTTGACTTCCTTGGGAAAACACTAGCATTAATGCAAGTAAGACTGATTTCCACCCCCCCTCTAAGTCTTGTTATATTTGATAAGAAGCATTTATCCCCCTGGAAATAGATTAGTAGGATTTCTAATGTTGTGTAGCAAACCTATACTTTTTTTTTGTATCTTAAAATTAATGTGAAATATGCATCATACACAATATTCAATCTAGATTCCAGTCCATGGGGGGATTTTTCCTAATAGGAATTCAGGGTCTAAACGTGTGTATATTTTGGCTCTTCTGTAAATCTAATGTTGTGATTTTTATATTTGTTTCGTTGTGTCTGTGAACTGAATAATTTATACAAGTACACACTCCATTGAGAAACGTTTTGTTTTTTGCTCGTTTGTATCGTCTGTGTATAACAAGTAAAATAAATCTGGTAAAACACTATGGTGTTTGAAAACAGTTTACAGTTTGAGAATACTTTAATTATTATAGGCGGTAACTTTTAAGGGTTAAGGAAGAATGACCTCTCCTGACTCCAGTATGGGGCAGTCTGTTTAATGGGAACCACCTCCCATATCCCCCTTAAATTTGTTTTGCAGCACTGCCAGTAATTCTCCTTTCCTTCTTACTTACAGTAACTTAGTTCCCTATGAGTCCTTGCACTTTGTTGCACTCATCCCCCC